AAATATAACTTTTTGGTGTCTGGGATCACTGGCCAATTATTCCCTGAACATGTCCCTTATGACTTTATAGCTGTGGATCATTGAAAAATAATAGATTCATCTTTAAATAAATATGAACTGATGGAAATTGCCTTAATGTGTTACGAACTTATGTGAATCAATGTATCAGAGGTGACAGAAACTAATTGCTTAAATGTTTATGAACAGCTTTAATGTTTTAAAAACATGAGCCATGTACCAAAGGTGACATAAATTGATTTAATGTTTTATTCACTTACATGAGCCATGTACCAAAGGTGACAGAAATTGCTTTAATGTTTTATTCACTTACATGAGCCATGTACCAAATGTGACAGAAATTGCTTTAATGGTTTATTCACTTACATGAGCCATGTATCAAATGTGACAGAAATTGCTTTAATGGTTTATTCACTTAAATGAGCCATGTACCAAAGGTGACAGAAATTGCTTTAATGGTTTATTCACTTAAATGAGCCATGTATCAAATGTGACAGAATTTTTAGAAATATTTTATTCACTTACATGAGCCATGTACCAAATGTGAAAGAAATTGCTTTAATGGTTTACTTACTTACATGAACCATGTACCAAAGGTGACATAAATTGCTTTAATGTTTTATTCACTTACATGAGCCATGTACCAAAGGTGACATAAATTGCGTTAATGGTTTATTCACTTACATGAGCCATGTACCAAATGTGACAGAAATTGCTTTAATGGTTAACATACTTAAACAAGCAATGTAACATAGGAAACATAGGGATACTTTCTGCTGAAAATAATACAAAAGTACCCCACAGGAAAGCCTTCAGCAGAGTGTGACCAGGTGGCATCTGCCTGGCTCACCATTGGGATCAGTACAGTTGCATAATCATGCGGGTCCAACTACTCAGGGTGTATCAAAACCACTTTGTACCACAAAACCTCTAATTTGAATTTTGAATCAGGTGCTTGAAAATCAAGGATTGTGCGACTCACATTGTTTTTCTTCAAGCTTGCTCCAGTAAAAGCAAAACATGGCTTTCAGTTGGTGCATTCCTTTATTGTACAGAGTATCTCGTTTCAACACCATCTGGGTCCCCAGCTGTGAAATCACTCACATTTTTATAGATTTTAATTGTAAGTCTCGTTACCCCGCCAGTCTTTTCTTCATTGTCACCAATAATTTCCAAATGGACGCCTATTACAAACCTCAAATGCTCCGTCTACATTTTATGGCAATAAACACCTTCACATTTATAAATGAAAATTGATAAAATATGTCGATACCGGTACATACCCCATAAAGCCCATGAAGATGGAAAAATAGATGGCACTAGTAGTCTTGGTCATTAAGCGCTAGTATACCATTTCCATATACAGTGAAACCTGTAAAGTGGAACACCTCTAGAAGTTGATCACCTCTGTTTGTGGAACAAATGACTTGTTGTTAAATGAACATCTATGTGTGGAACACCTCCCTAGTGGAACACTTTTTTGAGGTGCCAAAGGTGTTCTACTTTAACAGGTTTCACTTCATAGGGAAGCTGAGAAAGTTACATGTATTTATCACTGTATTTCTAAATTTGTCTTATATTTCCAGTTGAATAAGTAATAAAAATCCATCAGCATGCAACTGACTTAACCTTAACAATTGATGAGTGAATAAAGATATAATTTCTGGTGAGTGTTCCCTTCACTTCAAGTGGTTGTTTTCTTATAAATACACGTAAAAAAATTTCACCTATGGATTTTTGGAAAGAAATAAGTTTTCAGGATGTAATTGAGATAAATATTTCTCAAATATTTCCTCTTTCGAGCTGGGCAAAGTATGTATATTTATAATGTTATTTTAATGTTTGTAACTGTATTGTATTACATGTAGTTAAGTTTATATTTTGTACTCTTATACCCTATAAAGGGTGAATAGAGAAATCAATAAATAGATAAAATAAATATAATTCAACAATATCCATAAGACAATTACAGTGTATGTCTAAATAAAGTACTAAACAATCAATCAACGTTATTTCTGGCTGAAAACTCCATATGAAAGTAATTTCATGATTCTCAGGCTGTAGTCCCAGCCAAAAATTCTTTCAAAATCATGCAGTTTTGTACCATTCAAGCACTTTTGAAGTGATTTTGGACAAAAATTTGTCAAAAGCAAACACCCCCTGGAATTTTTTTGAAAAGTGACCCCTCCCCCTTGGCAAAAGCTGGGTAAAGGCTTGATTCTCAACTCTCTACATGTATTTTGAAACATCTCAGCCTGACAATTAATGACTACCTAAATACTTTTCTAGACCCCTATTCAAATCCTATCCCTAAGTACATGTAGAATTTTTTTGAAAAGTGACCCCTCCCCCTTGGCAAAAGCTGGGTAAAGGCTTGATTCTCAACTCTCTACATGTATTTTGAAACATCTCAGCCTGACAATTAATGACTACCTAAATACTTTTCTAGACCCCTATTCAAATCCTATCCCTAAGTACATGTAGATGTGAATCCTAATTATTTTATCCTCAAGTCTGATGTAAAATTCATTTGTTTAATAAAAGTAAATTGTTGAGGATCGGTATTCCATTACAAAAACAAATGATGCAATTATTATATAAAGACTACCGTATATGTCTAATTCTAATCCCCGATAATCCTATGTCATAATAGATATGGCATCTTTAAATTAGAAAATGAACTTCAAAGAAATCCGATTAGCAATTAAAAAAAATCACCAGACCCAATAATCAAGCAATTCCTGAAAAACTGGGATAATTATGACTAAAAGTGCAAAAGTGCGAAAAATACAGAGAAATATTGTGTATGGTTTGTATATCTTTGATATTTTGAGTATTCTGTGTATAAGTATCCCATTTCCTATTTATTCAGAAAATAAGTGGAATAATATTTAGCAATTTATCTTTGTAAGGGGTTTATTGGAATATATAAATGGAGAGAGCTAACAGCCCATCCTCAGATATTGTTTATACGGAGAATAAATAACACATCAAACACATCTAGGTAAGACTTATATTCTAATATAGTGGTGTTAGGAAATTTATTACTTAACGAAGATTTATTCCTGATGTAATATAAGATATGAATTAGTATATTTTATCATGTGCAAGTGTGCATGTACATATTTTTTAGTGAATTATGTAATGTAACTTCACATCTTTGTATTAAAGAACATACAATATGTGACCTCTGTATTTCATGCTTTGTCTTTTGACAAAGTTAAAACTGAATTGAAACTGAACTCAGCTTTCAAACTAAAATTAAGAACCTCAATATATAAAACTTAACAAGGTGCAAGAAAGCAAATGAGACTAGAATAACCATTGATTAAAGAGAGAACCAGAGATAGCAAGCATCCTAACAAAAAAATTTTCAATTTTAAAATATATCTGGCTTATGTCATTCCTTTCCATGGCTGTTTTCTGAAAATCCCCAAAGTGCACACTTTATTTTAGGAAAACTAACGATTTCTACAATAATGTGTTATTTTTCTATAAGAATGGTTACCATTCTTATTATTTGGGAGAATTTAAACATTTTTCACCCATTTTTGCACCTTGAATCCACTATAACTTCACCAATTTATAATATATCAAAGATCTTTTGGGAGATTTTGTATTTGAGATTGTAAGGAATAGATTGGTAGGTCAATTAGACAAGTTGATTGTAATTTTGTCACCCTCATAGATCTGATTCTGCCTTTAATGATAAAAATAATGGGTTCAATATGTTTGACATATACGATATATACTGGCACAATTTTTTTTTTTCAGAAAATATTTTTTTACAAATTAATGACATCATATGATCACAATAATATGAAGGCATATAATTCAAACACTTTTTTGAAACATCAAAAGGCAAACCCAGATTTCTTGACCCTTTGCTTATTGTTTATTTATGCACTTATTATTTTTCCATATGCATTAAATCTTAATTTAATTTGCTTTTGTACACATTAAATGATTGTTTTATATTTCCAGATTTGCATAAAAGATGTCACCAAAAGTAATCGTTTTACTGTTTGCGTTAGTCCTCATTGGATGCCCATTACCGGCTGTAGAGGGAGGTATAATATGTTTCCCATGTCTTTTAGTGAATCAAAGATGTGCCACAACTGCTCCTGGTGATGAAAAGGAAGCCTGTGTTGCAGAACTCGCAAAATGTAAAGCGGAAAAATGTGGGTCCTAAACAGGACAATTTACCATGAAATTAAAGGAGACCTTTTTTCAATGTCTTCCAACACACATTTTGCAAGAAATATCAGACTTTTTGAGGTCTCGCTGAGAGGCTTATTATTCCCAGGCACATCCCTTGTAAAGTTACAGCTGTTCACCATGAGAATAGTTTGTGAAAATCAATCGGTTTATCAATTAATAAATGTTAACTCAAGGAAATTACTATATTATTATTAAATTGCATGAGCTGAGCTACCAAAGGTGACAAAAATTGCCTTTAAGTATAATTTACTCATGTGAAACGAAGGTACTACAAGTGATTGTATTTTGGTTACTACCATGTTTTGGCGAGCAATACCAAAATATTTCCATATTTTACTCTCAAAAACCCTCAGAGAAGCCCTGGGTTCTTTTATGTGCACCAATACACGGACATCCAAGTTACACACCACTGGCTTTTATACGAGTTGTGGACCACTCAGTCAAACACCCAGAATTACATAACACTCAAACAAATTTGTCTGAACAAGGAATCAAACCCGGTGTAAAAGGGAAGGTGGTCCTATCAAATTTTGGTCCAACTCTCTATTGATTTATATGGTGACCTAATTACAATTATTTTCCTTATTATTTATACACAGTCAGGGCCAGTAAGGGCCGTAAGGAAAGGGGACCATAATCCCCAGGGCACCATAATTTCTTTTACACCGGGGCCAAGCGTTAGTGGTAACCTTGGCTCTGCCAATGAGCCATAGCGGGTGGACTTAATAGGATAGAAATTTCTTAAATAATTATCAACTTACGTGAGCTGAGATACCAGAGGTTGGCTGATGTCAGTGGTTTGACGTCCCACACATCTTTAGGAATCACCTCCACCTTCTCCACTTCTTCATCACTCTGAAATACATAAAGATATTATGAAATACATTATAACATTTCGAAAATACCTTTAAACATTCTGACAGACACTTAGACATTCTTAAATATATTCAACGAATCTAAAATACATTTAGACATTCTGTATATATACTTCAATATTATAAAATATATTCAAACATTCTGAAATACATTCAAGCATTCTGAAATACAATTTTGCAAAATACAATGTACAGTTGTAAATATATTTTTTTAGCATTCTCGAGTTTGCCAAAGCAATCAGAAATACCTTTAATTACATGTAAAAAAGTTACAGTAAGTAAACATTATTTGATTTTCTTCTAAACATTTACAAAAATTCAAACTCAATTATATAGCATGAAACAATAACACTTAATTATAACCTCACTTATGCAGAATCTGTGCCACCTTTTATCAATGCCATGTTATATGATTATTTTGAAAATAATACTGTGAGAAATATAGCCGGATTATAGTATTTATTTATAAGTTAATAAATGTCTCAAGGCCAAATGTACATTTCACCAAAGTACAATAAATAGATAGATAGATATAAAAAGATATATGCAGAAAAGATACAAGATATGCTGTAACGATATATAAACAATGTTAACAAAGTATAGAATGATTGTTCCTAAGAGACAGATATAGGTATTTATCAAGAAAGTGCAGTAGTCACAATTTCCAGTGTGTGCTTTTTCCAAATGCTGTAATTAAAAAATAAGTTCGAATATTCGTATGCATGTTTTAATCATGTAAAGATATAAGACATATGATACCCAAGTAATTGTCTGCTTTAACTTCTCCAAGCGCAATATCTGTAAAATAATATAATGAAAATACTCTATCATTTTACTTTTCCCTAAATGTCATCAAATGTCATATTTTCCTCAGCCTTCTTCATCAAAATAAGGTACACAATATTTTCTTAAAACCATCCATTGCAATAAAAAAAAAAATATCAAGTCCTTTCTTGTCCAAATGAAAATAAGTTAATACTATCCAGTGGCATTTATGAAAAGTCCTTTCCAGTCCAAATAAAATAATTAAAAACAAAACACAATCATGTGCAATGGGTAACAAAAATGTAACAAGCGTTACAGAGACTGACACTGATTTCCAATATCAAACACAAACACGGAAACAAGTCACTAAAAATGGTGGCCATACCCATTTGAGACTTTTACATACCTCACTTCCCTATTTACAAGCAATTAGAAATGAGTCATGACAGTAGAATTTTGCACCATATCATATTTTAAAATATTACCCAATGATATACCTGACAAGTGGAGTCCACTTGGGTCATTACATACCTGTTGAGATCCCACTGTTGATGTGATAGCAGTTATGAGACGTATGGTAGCTGGTGAGATATTGAGTATAATATCAGAGATGTTAATGTCCATGTGGTGACCTTTACCAAATGGTGCACTACTCTGTAGGGCGATCTCACAGGGGGTCAGGATCTAAAAGAAAAAGGAGAAAATAGAAAGCATGAAAAATTAATAAAAAAAATAGTTTCACCAATGAGAAAGCCTAAAGTGAAGGCACATTTAATTAATTTGGTTGGCAAGAAGGCAAAAATTAGAAAAACATTTGTATGAAGGGTTTATATACTAGCACAAAAATTTTTGCCAAAATTAATTCTCGACTCTGACGAACCAAATATTTTTCAAATCTAAGGCCAGTAAACTCACCACAACTCCAGTTTTTGATCTGCGACTCCGCTCAGAGAAGTTGCATGATAGAATTTGGAGATTCTTAACAGCCCCCATCATGGTCTGTTGCTCTGGTAGAATGGTCATCTTGAAGTACACCTCCGTCTGCAAATATAAATATTACCCATAATACATTGCTGCAGCAGACATATTGCTCTGGTAGAATGGTCATCTTGAAGTACACCTCCGTCTGCAAATATAACCAGAACAACGGCAACGCCAAAGCGTAGCGAATCCCATCGAACAGCCATGGAGGGCATTTTTACAAACAAAGGATATAGCAAAAATGGCAGCCATTTTTCAAAATGGCCGCCTTCTACCAAAAGTGTCATTAGACCATGTGCCATGCTTATGGTATTCACATACCAAATATGAACAAAATCGCTCCACTACTTTTCAAGTTATAGTAAAATACGTTAAAATGGCAGCCATTTTTCAAAATGGCCACCTTCTACCAAAAGTGCCATTAGACACAGATACTAGTTTTCTGCATGAAAAAAATCAAAATTCTGCAAAAAATTCTGCAAGAAAAAAAGCAAATTCTGCAAGGAGAAAATCGAAATTCTGCACAAATTTTCAAAAAAAGTCCAAATTCTGCAATCTTTTAAAACGATGAAAACGGAAACGGAAGTCAGCTACTTTCTAGGTAAGAACTGCGCGTCATTAGTGAACTGCTTTAGCGAATTCAAACGTGATAGAATGTTGAATTTCACGGTGAAATCGTACTTGTACTCAATAATGATTGATTGCTGGACATAAACAGACACTCTTCAAATACCCCGCAAAGGTAGGAGATCGTAAAATATGTAATTTCTGGAAATTCTGGTAATTCCGCGGGATTTTCATGAAAATCAGGGATTCTGCAAAAAATTGAAGTTTTGTCAAATTCCGTCCACGCCGCGGAATTACGGAATACTAGTATCTATGATTAGACAGTGTGCCGTGCTTATAGTATTCACATACCAAATATAAACAAAATCGCTCCTCTACTTTTCGAGTAATAGTAAAATACGTTAAAATGGCGGCCATTTTGAAAAATGACCGCCTTCTACCAAAAGTGTCATTAGACAGTGTGCCATGCTTACAGTATTCACATACCAAATATGAACAAAATCGCTTCACTACTTTTCGAGTTATAGTAAAATAGGTTAAAATGGCGGCCATTTTTCAAAATCTTTTTCAAAATGGCCGCCTTCTACCAAAAGTGTCAAAGGACAGTGTGTCATGCTTATAGTATTCACATACCAAATATGAACAAAATCGCTCCACTACTTTTCGAGTTATAGTAAAATACGTTAAAATGGCGGCCATTTTGAAAAATGGCGTCCATTTTTCAAAATGGCCGCCTTCTACTTAAAGTGTCTTTAGACGGTGTGCAATGTTTATAGTATTCACATACCAAATATGAACAAAATCGTTCCACTACTTCTCGAGTTACAGCAAAAATCGTAAAGACCGCCATTTTCCAAGATGGCTGCCATGTGCTTCTTTAATATCTACATTTCTAGCTTTATTAATGTCCTATATAGTTTTTTTACATCTAAGACATATTGCTATTACAGTTTTACATATTGCACTTAAATTACTGTAAATTCGGCACTAAAATAGCCGCCATTTTGAAATGAGCGGCCATTTTGAAAATCGGCTTTCGAGCAGAACTTCTACCCCCATAGGGTATATGTGTACAAAATATGAACAAAATCGGGCCAACGGTATTTGAGTTATTGCCCGGACGGACGGACGGACGTACGTACGGACGGACGGACGGACGGACGGAGGCGTTCCCTATATCCCTCCGAACTTCGTTCGATGGGATAATTATTACCCATAATACATTGCTGCAGCAGACATATTGCTCTGGTGGAATGGTCATCTTGCAGTACACCTCCGTCTGCAAACATAAATATTACCCATAATACATTGCTGCAGCAGACATATGTCTCTGGTAGAATGGTCATCTTGAAGTACACCTCTGTCTGCAAACATAAATATTAGCCATAAAGGCACAAATAGGAAGTATCTTACCTAAAAATAAATCAAAAATCATTTACCCAGCATGCAAAAACACTTAATTATTTTTAGATTTGCATGCGAAGAAAAATCCCTGAAAATTTCAAAACAATCCATGAAGTAGTTTGTCTAGAAATGAGTAAATAAGAAAAGTGAGACAATGATGCCAAGCACCTGCCAAACTGAAAACAAAGTTGTTCTTTTAAGGTAAAATAATTAATAAATAAAAAAGGCATTAACATGCAAATATTACCATCTGACATTTGTTAAAGATACTAAACACCAACCATCGAACACCCACCACTGGATGCTGTCCGCAATCCACAAAAAAGTTGGAGACTAACAATATTTTACTTGTAGTGATGACAAAAAAATGTTATGTTTTTCAATTTTCAAATTCCACCAATGAATCGGGAGATAATGAATTCAATAAATGTCAATGAAATTAAACTTACATCAAGGACTAAGGCTTTAGTGTCCATATTCATTGCATCTTCCACAAGTACAATCTCTGGATGCATTATCTGGATCATGATATGCATTTCTGATGAAGGTGGGATTTCTGCTTTCACAACATCAGCCTCAGCTGAAAGAAGATTGAACTTTGTATTTGTTCAATTAAGTTTGTTAATTTCTTCATTCTGTTTCATTTCACATCCTTCCGTCCAATCCCATCCATGCATCCATTTACTAATCTATTCATTTTTTATTTTTTATTTATTTATTTATTTATAGTGGCTTGTCTTACAATTCAGAAATGATATCCAAAATAGTGATGTAATACATTATACTTCTTTTTCCTTCCTTTATAATTGTTATAATTTTTTGTTTGTACATGTACTTGACCCCAAGGGGTGTGAATGTACTTGAGGAATAAATATATGTATAAATATAAATACATTATACTAAATTTAACAGATTAAATACAAATAAATTACCAGCAGCATCTTTAATGGCTGGCTTAGCTGGTTGTGGTGGAGGAGGTGGTAGTCCCTTAATGAAGAAATCCCCAACAGCCATGAGGTAATCCAAACAGACGCAGATATATGGGTTGTGCATGGTCATCTTCAGATCCTTGTTCTGTTTGGAGTCCTGATCAAAGCTGATATTCACCATGTTATTGTCCTCTGATACACCCATATTGGCCATTTCTAACATCCTGAAAGAGCACCATAATGCTTTAGAATATCGAATACAATGAGTAGGCATGTAGGGAAGCAGAACAATACAAAACTCTATCATTCAGACAGACCAATGTGTTAATTGTTATATTAGATTAAGAAAGGAGTGGGTATAATGTGCAATATGTTTGTGTAAAAAGACCTGGGAATTAACTTTGGTCATAGGAACAAAAATGATATAGTGTAAAAGTAAAACAAAGTACAAAGGATGTGAGTTTCAGGCAATTTGTAGAAATGTTTTGGAAACTTTGGTCTCCTAGTTGAGGGTTACAAGAAACCTCAAAAGGGAAAAAAGTCAAGCGGGATTTACATACTTGCTTTAAAAGGGCTTTTTAGGAGTCACATGGACATTTCTGTTTATATTGTATTAAAACTTTTTATTTTGGCATTGGTAACATACACTGAAACTGGTAATACACATTGACGTTGGTAATTTACATTGATATTGGTAATGTACAATGATATTGGACAACAAATAATTAACAATTGTTACCTTTTACTCATACATACTCATAAAATATCCTGCTACAGGATACATTTATGACTTTACTCATATAACATCCTTATATATATATAACAGTATACTCTGAAGACATATGACTTTTATTGTATATTGTGAATTTCACATTGTAAATTTTATAATCAATTGGCCATTCTTTCACAAATAAAAACAATGACCATTTTGGGGTGCCACAAACAAACTATTCAACTAAACAAATCATTTTGTAAATTCAAACTGCTTCATAATACATGTATGCAGATCAAAACATCATTTGAAATATGATTTAATTTTGACTTAAATCATATTTTCAAAATTGTTTTTCCATATAAGCATTGTGAATTTAAAGAAATTAAATCAAAATTTCTAAATTTTATCAATGCTCTTGTATTCACAAATGCAACTAACGCCTGTCAGCTACCGGATTAACTTACTATTTTATGGGTAACTCATTTAAATATGAACTGATTAGTGTCAGGTACTATTCATATTTAAATGAGTTACCCATAAAATAGTAGGTTAATCCTGTAGCCGACTGGTGTTAGTTGCATTCGTGAGTACAAGCTAAGAAACAAGACAATATACTCAATCAGGGTTTTGAATTGGTACAAAAACTTGGAGTAAATGGAGTATATAAATAAAATATAGCTTTGAAGTTTTAAGTCTGCAGATTCTAAAAAATAGTACCTACATTTACATATGTACATACACATAGTACCTAGAATATACATACAAATGAAAGCAAAAACAAAATGAAATAATATTTTGGCATGATTATATGTTTTAAATGATAGTTTAATTGTCAGAGAATTATCTTAAAAGCACTTTTCACTTCATCAAATACTGTAACTTTGGTAATTTTGCTGCTATTTAATTTGGCAGATTTTCATTTTGATTTTTTTAGATTCTAACCATGTTTTGTGTTCACAATGTTCGAAAGTATTTTCATCTCAAAAGTACTGATTTCAGATAAATACTAGCCACCATATCAGCAATACATTCGATGATATATTTTGCAAAAATTTAAATTCCCAAATTCACCAAAGTAAAGTAAGTGCAAAACTGGCCCAAGTTACAGTATAGGATTTTGAAAGTAAAAACAATGCTCAAAAAACAGGTCTTACCCTTGCAAAATGTTGATGTGACATAAAGTAAAGCCTTCATTACATTTGCTCTACATTAGCCTTAGGGTTACTGTACTTTTTATGCTGCACATTCCTTTCAATTTTAAAAAGCTACAGCCGCCATATATGGTTGCCGTAGATCAAATGTGACTGAGGCATAAAGAACAGGACAGACATAACTTTTTGCAAGGTCAATAATTATCTCAGATTCAGGATTTAATGATCACAACATGCAATGAATGCACACATGTCACAAACTGATGTCACATGTCACAAACTGATGTCACATGTCACAAAGTGATGTCACATGTCAATCACATTTACCCGAACACGGTCCCACTGGAATGAATCACACTTTAACAATGTAGTAACAACAACAACAAATATAACAACAACAACAAGAGATCATTATAAATGTACACATATACTTTAAGAATGAGTGAGTCAGTAACTCAATGTTACTCTGGGTAACCATAGTTACACAAGAAAACACATCTATTGAAAGGTGATAAAAAGCACTTCCTTAATAGTTGACACTTATTAACTCTTAGCGGTCCAAACTAAATCCTAGCATTTTTTGCCCTGGTCTGAGCAAAATGGACAATTTGACCACAGTAACCATTAAATTTTAAAGTATACACATTTTATATACATATAGGCTACAAAACAATATATTTTTGATCTGGTCATCAAGTGTTGGGTATGAATTATATATTTTTTGTTTCTTAACGAACTTCAGCATACCCCCAAGTACCTAAAGTGCGAGTTATCTCGTTGGCAGACCCCAGAGAATGTCTGATTTTGCGAGATAACTTGTCGGCAGACTGCTTAGAGTTAAGTATGGTCAGTAAAAAAAATCAATGAACAATATGATCGCGTTACAACCCAATACAAAATTCAACTCTAAATGCAAGGACAGAGATTTACAAATATATAAAAAAGAATGTTAATTTCTTTTTAATTCCTAGGAGAGTATATCTATAAAATGTACATAAGAAAGTGCTTTTAATATTAAACAACAACAAAACAAATAAAAGTACATTGTAGACACAAAATTATGTAAAAAAATAATATTAATGTAAAGTAAATCGCAGTTTTAAGATTTTGCTAGATGTAAGTCATGTTCAAATGTTTTTAATAATGTAATGAAAGAATTTAAATGTTCACATACTTTGTGATTCCATGCTCTCTTAAGGGTCGCGAGTCATCCAAGATTATATTCTGCAACACCACTTTGGCTTTCATTGACGTATCAGACATCATTTTGCCATCAACTGCTATCTTATTTAGCTCAACTCTAGCAAGAGATTTCTCTGGGATTCTAGCACTTCCTCCAGGTACCTTTGAATAAATTATTTACAAGATTAAAATATCCGTAAACATAAAGTTACAAATGTTTAGTTTATTGCATTTTTACATGTTCAAATAGCAGTGTGGAAAAATAATTTTTAAACTTGTACATATTTTATATATTCTTCTTTTGATTGATTTGTTTGTTTGTTTATTTTGATTGTATCCAAGTAAAGTAGAAAGTAGAACTGAAATAAGTGATTTTGCAAAAAAAACAGTACATACAATGTGTATTATGGTCAAAAGGAGCATTACATTGTACTGAAATATAATAAAAATCAGACATTTCATTTGAAAGAGTGAAATAGAAAGAGCACAAGTGCAGAAAGATATTCTCAATAAGTTACTGACCAGTTCACTATCTCCAATGTACAACTCAGCCTTGATATTTTCAACACAGAATGTGAACGTCATCTTCGGGTAGGCATTATCAGTCACTGGAGGTTCAATCCCAGGGTGCTCAGCAGACACGGGTGCTGCAATCTCTGGGACAACTTGGTCTGTGGTGTCCACAGGGGGTGGGGCTTGGGGGGCAGGTTGACCCTCAGTCAAATTCTCCCCAAGGACACACATCATCATAGTGAAATCACTTTGACTTATATTCACCTAAGAAAGATGATTACTATGTATGAACATTAATATATCCATTTTTTAATCTCATGCCTCATTTTTTAAATGAACACTTAAACTGTATTTTTGATTCATTAATTGTAGTTTTCTCAGTAATATGACAACTTACATCCACATAGGGAAGTTTCCCGGAAATGTTGATATCTGGCTCTTCATGGTACCATGCTGCTGCTAGGTTACGCTGTATTTCTAGAGATATTGTGACAGGATTTAACAATAAGCATTCACGCCCCACTTGACCATCCAGTAGTACAGCTCTGAAAATATTACCCATAATGCAATTCATATCTAGCAGACGTTACATCTCCAAGGAGATATGTTTTCATTCAACACATTAAAGTTTCAAACTACCAATCATGAAATTACCTGCAGACATTTCAAAACAAGTGTGAAAAAGGAGTATATTTCAATAGATTCAATATAATACATAAAATCAAAAGATCAACAACTCTTTCAATCCAATTTCGAAATACGACAGATGCACCAGAATTTTTGAAATCGTAATAGTCCTTGAAGTAAGGTTAATTTCTTCAGTCTTTGGTCATAATGTTATTAGCCAGTTACCTTGACAATTTGAGATCACTCAGCTCTATTTTCATGTGATCAAAGATGGCAGGGTGGCCTCGTTCATTTGTCTTCTGGGCCATGTAGAATGAGTTCCCGATATGAAGCAGACCCAAATCTGCTACAAGCGCATTTTCTGACATGGAATTCTGTGGAACTATGATCAATGGAGCCTAAAAGCAGCAAATCAAATATAATATACTGAGCATTGGATAAAATATGGATTCATATGATAACAACAAAAACAGTATTTCAAAAGTTTTTTTGTCGCTTTTTGCTTAATCTTGTAACACTAAATCTGCTCATCCTTTAAGAGATGCCTGGTTGTTTAATCGATACAATTTAGAGTGTGACATATTAATCACAAGCTATTCACTCCTTGCTAATTCCACTATTTGCGACTCAAGGATTTCAAAAGATTACAGTCATAACATTTTTGCATTTTCACATTATCAAACACATACCTTCATGCTGATTCCCAGCTGTATACGTGATGCTTTGTCTTGGAGGTTTGCTGCCACTTGTCTCGCCTGCTCTGCGGCAGCAACCCCTGCCTCCACAACCTTATCTTTGGCAGCAGAAAACTTTTCCACGTACCCCTAAACACAAAATTATAACACTCTCACTTTCAAACCATCCTGTCGGGAAACAGAATCCAATTTAAATAATCTAATAAAGTCTGTATATCGAAATTCATCTTATATACAGAGTTTCCATGAATTGCCTATTATCTTGTTGTTGTTGTAGTGCATTTAATGCTGCTTTTTCACTGTGTACTTTGTTTGTCTCTCGGCACTCTCACTCTGAACTTTTCACTTCTTGCGCAGAGTTATCTATTATTTTTAAAATGTTTGTTTATTGAGCAGATGAAACACAACCATCAATTACTATAAGGAATAAATATGAACATGTCATTTATAATTATATTTCCATTACTAATCAAAACCACTGAGAAAAGAACAGTTATTCTGCAAATAAAAATCAGCTATGAGAGCTTCCAAAATGACAGCCTCCAAATTCAATGACCCAATTGCAGTAATGCATCGAAGATTGAAGCATCATTTGTTGGTTCATCATCAACATAATAATGAGCTTAAAATTCAAAATGTAACAAATTGAACTTGAACACAAATACAGCAAGCATTTTTTATCATATGGATTTGTTTGGAAGTCTTTTTACCTTAATACCATTCCAAGTGTTAACAATCCGAACTACATATTTCTGTAATATAAAATAGTTCTGAAAGTTTCTGCTCTGACAGACTCAATTAACAGGGCAGGGCGTTAACTTGCAAAATGTCACCACATGCCATTCGTGACAGACATTGAACACCAACTGCTGAATGCCAAACACCAACCATTGGACACCATCCATGAAAATGTTAATGACTATAGCAATATGTCACAACTTATGGTGGTGACAGAACAAAAATTCAAAATTGATCAACTACCACAAACAGATAATAGGTAATTTGAGACTGTTAAAACCATATCAACATAAGCAACAAAATCAAATCTTTTGTAGCACTCAGAAGGCAGTATGACTTATATGCGGAACTCAGGGTATACAGTATAAACGCTCACCAGTAGAGCAGCAACAAACTTATTAAGGAAGACAGCTTTCATACATCCCAGGGACAGGTCAACCTTCATATCCACACACTTCATATTAGTGTATGCCTCTCCTTCTGTGGCATCATTGAACATTGTCAGACTCAGGTTGAATACCTGTGAATAGAATACGCAGTTGCCATTAATATAAGAGAACATCTGAACGTTGAAAGTGAATTCATTTTACATACATAATTTTTATGTGCATACAGTGCAGGTCCATAGCCAGGGGGGTTCAATGGTTTTGACCAAACCCCTCCCAGCCCAAAATTCTTTGATTTTGGCCATTTTTGGGCCAAAATTGTCAAAAGTAAACCCCCCTGGAATTCAGTGGAATTACGTCACTTCACTTCATATTTACAATCAAGACAACATTACAGTTTCAAACATATATGGACTCATAATGATCAATAGATAGAAGTTTGTGTTAATTATTTTCCTTTATTTTCAAAATGGTGGGCCTTGTTTTGCTCATCATGAAAATATTGCTTACCTCAGATCCATCTATTGATAATATCTTAGGGTAGACTGCTTGGGGGGTTGGGTCGAACACTGTGATGTCACGCAAGATTGCCGACACATCAGTTTTCTTTTTGTCAATGGTTACACCAGCCTCCAATCCTAGAATGTAACAATATTGTTAACTTAAAGAGGTACTCGCCATTTTGTATGACATCACAGATCTTTTGGGAGATATAAATAATACATATGAGATCAAGAAGAACAGATTGGATTGGAAGATCATTGTACAAATTGCTCGCAATTTTGTCACCCCATATATCTCTGAACGATTGACTTGGGCATGGTCCACTGGTATTGTATTGTATCTTGGTTACCGCAATATTTGGCGAGCAATACCTAATTGGTATATTCTGTATTTTACGTATTTTACACTCGAAAATATACCCAGAAACCCTAACTTGGAGGAGCCCTGTGTTCTTTTCTGTGCACGGGTACATAGACATATAAGTACACACCACAGCCTTTTATACGAGTCGTGAACCACTCAGTCAAACAACCAGAATTACATAATGCACATACAAACTTGTCTGAACCGGGAATCGAACCCGGGGCCAAGCAATAGTGGTAACCTTGACTCTGCCACTGAGCCATAGTGGGTGGACTGGTTAAATACATATTGTTATTCTTTATTTTATCTTATTTAGCATATACGAGATTTACCTGAGACTTTTAGCTTTGTGATAACAGACACATCAGTGCACATTGTAACTGCAATGTTGTTGAGGTTGGCATCTAGTTGGATATCTATCACATCCTCATCTTTCTTATTGATCTTTTTCTCTGGAAAATATAAGATATAAGAAGTATGTACTAGCTTGATAGCTTGGGAAAATGGAGTCACATATTAAATAGTTACTACTGACCCCTTCAACATTGGGAAAACTGAATGCAACACCATGATGAAAATAAGAAACATCATGCCATCCTGTTGAAAATCTCTGAGCACCCGGTAAAATTGATGAAATCTTCACCAAAACTGGGAAAATTAGAATTTAGCACCCCTTTGAGAAAATTACATGGGGAGATCACTAAGTATTTGCCGAAATTCTGTTTGAATCCTGGCCAATGAAATATTGAGATATTTTGCCCGACACAAGTAAAATAGAATTAGCACAGCACCCTGAAAAAATACGATGGGAGATCACTGAGAATTCAGTAGATTCAGGGTAAAACCTATGAATCTATGAATTTCTTTGCAAAGGTACCTGTAATGACTTTTTACATCAGGCATGACATATTAAATAAACAACAACAGGTCAAGATTCCGAAAACAATTTAATGAATTTAAAGTGAATCTCTGTCTGATTCTCCTTCAAACAAACTCACTTCTCTTTGGTTTAGCCTCTTTAACAGTGTCTTGTTTATCAGTGGTGTGTTGTGTGACGTCAACTGTTGTAGTGGCTGTGTCACGTGGCTTCGGGGCAAGACTTTGAGCAAGTTCCATAATGTTCAACAATGCCCCCTGGTGTAGCATTATATCAAGTGCCCGGAACTCAGCCTTTATGGTCTGCTCTGTATTGTTGTAAACAGTTGCAAAGTCAGGACCCTCCTTATTGGCCTATAAAATATATCAGCGTTCAATAAGTAAGTTCAATTATCAATTGATGAGATTTTTCTTTCAGTTCTTCAAAAATCTTAGCACACTGATATTTAGCGAGTATGGAAGTCACAAGTGTAAAGATGTGTTGTTTTGATGAGAACAGAGATACAGCTAAGGGATCAACTCAGGGGGGAAATAACCCCAGCGTTCAAAGAAGACATATGTCTAACATGTAAATCTGTATTGAGAAGACATATTGTCCTGATTGGTCAAATCAACAGACATACAATGGCGGTTTCAAAATTTTCGAAACACGCTTCGAATAATATTATATTAGTTTCTGGCGTGTAGATTAATATCATAGCTTGTTATTTTGGATCAAGATAAAGACAGGTGTAACTAATATGCTTACATCGATTAAAATATCACAACGATGTGTTATTCTTGAAAACTAATTGGTGAGAAGTTGTGCAAATGAAGGTGGTATGCAAGAGACGTAATTATATCTGTAAACTCTTAAGCTCTGGGGTTTTCCCCCTCTTGGATCAACTTAAGAATCATACCTTGAGAATTCTCTACATGTTTATCAGAGGACACTCTTACCTTGAGGTACTGTACAGAGAGCAGATGCTTGGAAGAGTCATCCTCCAGGGAAGGTGTATTGATGATGTTTATAAGGGGTCCATCATTCAACTCTGCAAGAAGATGTCTCAGACTTTTAAAATTGCATGTTATGCAAGAAAACATTTTTTATTGTTTGACTGTTTCTCTTTTACTAGCAAAAGAGGACAGATACACCTACATTGTGTCAAACTTTTTATCTATGTTGTTTTATAATTATTATTGGAATTCATAGTAAGCAATATTTTGAAATCCAAATTTCTATCACAGAAAGCAATAAATGAAGAAAGCATAAACCAGACATTTTTCACTACATTGTTTAATACTTTTTGTTCAGCACTAATACTATTATGTACATAAATAAAATAATAATAATAAAAATAATAGATTTATTTAAATAAAAACACTCTGATTATATATTTCATAATATAAGTCAGGCATTAAAACCCGAGAGAAGGGGAGGTGTCTTGATGATTGAGAAAAATTTTGGAGTTGGGTTCGGATCTGAGGGTTAGTTTGAAGACTTGGGGGAGGGAAAAACGTTTGCGGTTTGGTTCCCTCAATCCTCAAGACAAGCACATCTTTACATTTAAAATGTTACTAAATACGATACGATATATGATTCATATAACATTTCAGTACTAAACTACAGTATTTAGCATCTACACTTGTTTTTACCTTCAGTTAGTTGTAAATCCTTGGGGACTGAAAGAAATCATCAAAATCATGCAAAATCACCCAATAAAGCATCAATTAGTTGCATGCAATGTTTCAAATCAAAAATGGTTAATTTATGATGCAAAATATTTAGTATCAGCAATGGTCCACATCAAAAATGGTTAATTTATGATGAAAAATATTGAGTATCAGCATTTTAGTTGGATATCAATACAGAATTAGTTTAATGCCAGTTAAAAAGGCAAATAAACAATACATGGGTAGGGCTGAAAATATTTGCAATTAAAACTACTAGTATATCTAAATAATCAGACAAAAAATTAGTATCAAAAATTGTGAAAATGTGAAGCAACTGAAGTTAGTCTCCATCTAGCTAACATTGTGATTAAGTCAAAGGGTTATACTCTTCAAAAAGTAAAACTAGAAACCCAAGAATGACCAAAGCGTGTCATAGTACATCCCATGCACACATTACTCTCCATTCATGCTTATTTCACTCCATTTCTCTCTAAAACTTGAATGAACTATCTAATTTTCTTGCATTTCTATACAATTTAGAGTGTTAAAGGCCCCATATAAAGTTTAAACCACTTTGGCTTAAATTGTAGTCTTACCCAATGTTATCAAAGTGTGATATGTGAAACTTTTTTTAATTTCAAAAAGTGGTTTTTGATAGACTTTTTGTTTCAAAATTTGTGAATTTATTCAAAACCAACTTTAAGAGGTCACTCATATCTTCTAATTAGCCACAATTAATACCAATGCATAGCATTCATCCTCCCATGTTTTTTGCCGAAAAAATTAAGAAAATCTGTTCATAAATGGTTCTGAGAAAAATGCATTTCAAAATTTTAGTTCTCATAGAAACCAATGGTACAATGATATCTAAAACATAATTTATTTTTCCTTTTAACCTGGTTAGACAATCAACATTTAGAAAAGATTGACATCGAAAAAAAAATTTCATTTTCAAAAAGATTTTGCTACCTTAGTGACATCACTAATGTTTAAAAATATTTTTGATATGCTTAAACATTGAAGTGGCCCATTAAATATGGCATTTTATTATTGAAATGGTGTGTCATTTGTTCAATCTTTGCATTGGTGTTAAAAAGATAATCTTTTTTGAAATGCATTAAGAAATATTTGATGTTTAAGAAATTTCAACTTTTTTTAAAAAATGGCGGGAAATTTGAATATTTGAGAAATGAAATGCTCACAACTTTTTTTCAAATTTTTTTTGTTCAAAAATCTCTAAAATCACTTTTTAAGTCCTGACAAATAGTAAATGAATGATAAAAAAAAGTATTTTCAAACTTTAGATGGGGACTTTAACCACAAGCCAGTTAACTTTATTCCTTGCTTATTCCATTCTTTTTCACTCTATTTTGGATTTGAAAAACATGACCACCACGTCATAGAAACAGTCAATAAATCCTCCATACTTACGTTTAAACTGCAAATGCTGTAGGTAAACACCGCCAAGGTAAGCCTCTGCAACCATTTCAAATGTTCGCATCTTAAGACTGGTACCAAGGGACTCCACCACTATCTTCAAGGTGGGCACCTCTTGGTCAACTTTGAACTGTGAGATATTTACACTGATCTGAAATAATAAGATTCAAAATAAATGCAAATTCAATGTCCATAAATTTTAGCAGGATTACAAACATATGGTTGAAAAATAGAAAAAAAACAGCAACTCCAAATCCCACCAAACAAAATACATTTTATCAAATCACTCATCATTTTCAAAACACCATGATTGAAATAACCAGACAGTGGTATAATAATCATATTGTCTCCTTTTTAGCAAAATCTGCAAATATGATGCGACATGATTTCATAATAAATTCCTTCTTGAGTAGAGATATGTCCATGATGCAATTAGCCTAAAAACAGCATTTGTGTTATCATAAAAAAAATTCTCCCGAAAAATGGCAGCAATTTTGAATTCAGTAGCCCTTTTGAAAGAATTCAGCACGTGAAATCTGAACCATATCTGACAACTTGTGAAAAATGGTGGCTATTTTGAATTTAGTTGAAAATTTATTCTTGAGTACAGTCATATTATATGTTGCCAGAACATCAGCATATTGCCAAATCCGTTAACTGGTATGAGAGTTATCAAAGATTACATTTTTACAAAAATATCTGGCCATTTTGCATTTAGCACCCATTTTCAATATTTCTTTATCCTCTATCTAGAGTCCTCTATCTAAAGTAGACTAAAGGGAATCAGCATATAAAATTTGAAAAATTAATCAGATTACTGGAATGAATGTTGACATGGTCCAAGTACTCTCACAAAATATCACATAATCATCAAACGATAAAGTTCTTTGTTTATTAAGCATCTGCCACACCAAATATATAGAGGGAGCTCATATCTGATGAACATTTCCGAATTTTTATAAAATCACACAGAAACTGTCTGGCATTGAAGATGCAAAAATAATTTGTATGGATAGGGCATCTTGAACACCATTTTTACGAATTCTGGGGATGCTGTATAAAAACGACAATTTCAAAATATATAGGTCAGAGATAGGTTTAATGCACACTGCGTCGCTATAGAATGAATTACACTACTAATTTCACAACTTTATTGATATTAGGTGTCAATTACACATATATGAGTATATTTGAAGTCCCAAAACGGCTTTGTTTCAGAAATATCCCCGCACCAGATATATCCCACAGGCTCCGTCTGCATAGGGTATAAAATATATCTTCTATATAAAACAGGTTTTAGTAAATGAATTGGAAGTAAACAAGGTTAATCTAACCTTTATCTCAATGTGATACAAGTTATGCATATTTACCACAGTTACGATATACATTGTACACATACAGTGAAAAGCAGGAAAATAGAGGCACAAGATGGGTGACAGGGAAAAACATTCCTTTTCTAAGAAGCATATTATGGTAATATTTTTCTAATTTGATTGTAGTTGTTGATTTGATAAAATTGTAGTTATTATTACAATATAAAAAAAACAGAATCAAAGGTTAACATATCATTTTCTTACATGATTTTTTTTATGTTATTCCATTAGTAAGGGTTCAATACACCCCCAATCCGCAATCTAAAATCACAGTACCGTAGGGTACATTAAGAGTATGGTACCGTACGGTACCGTTGCAGCATAGTGCCGTACAGTGTTCACGATACTGTACTGTACTGTTTTAGTCTACAGTACCGTGCAGTACCATATTTCACGGTACAATACAGTACCATTTCCAAAACAGTACCATATGGTACTGTTGCAGATTGGCTGTGTACAATACAATTTATTCAAGGTACACTTCTGTTTACAGCTCAAAGATATTCCTATCACATGGATAAGGAAGTTTCTAACTGCGCAAAGACTCTATGACATTAATGACAGAGGATATGCAGGCTATGAGGATTTCATGACAATGGCTGACAGATTAATATGGTAAAATGAAATGTAAAATGAAATATTAAATATGGTAAATATTAAACATAAAATACAAGTAACAAAGAGTTGAAGAATACAACTACACTTAAAGACCAATAAACCAAATTAACCATGGCTGGCATTTTTACAAACGAAATATATAGCAAACTTTAAAATAGTGGCCAATTTTCATAATGGCTGCCTTCTACCAAAAGTGTCATTAGACAGTGTGCCATGCTTATATTATTCACATACCAAATATGAACAAATTTGCTCCACTACTTTTCGAGTTATAGTAAAATACGTTAAAATGGCGGCCATTTTGAAAAATGGCCGCCTTCTACCAAAAGTATCATTAGACAGTGTGCCATGCTTATAGTATTCACAAACCAAATATGAACAAAATCGCTCCACTACTTTTTGAGTTATAGTAAAATATGTTAAAATGGCCGCCTCCTACCAAAAATGTCATTAGACAGTGAGCCATGCTTATAGTATTCACATACCAAATATGAACAAAATCTCTCCACTACTTCTTGAGTTATAGCAAAAAACGTAAAATAACAAGTAAAGGCCGCCATTTTTCAAGATGGCTGCCATGTGCTTCTTTAATATCTACATTTCTAGCTTTATCAATGTCCTATATAATTTTTTACATTTAAAACATATTGCTATTACAGTTTTACATATGCACCTAAATTACTGTAAAATCGGCACTAAAATGGCCGCCATTTTTAAATGAGCGGCCATTTTGAAAATCGGCATTCGAGCAGAACTTCTACCCCCGTAGGGTATATGTGTACAAAATATGAACAAAATCGGGCCAATGGTATTTGAGTTATTGCCCGGACGTCATTTGTTGTTGCTGCATTGGTTTCTTCATTCATTTTCTTCTTTCTTTGTCTTGATTTGATTGCGATGTTACTTATCTTTCTTCAGGGTCCACAGACTTGAGACTGCGCATAGGTGGGTTAAACGTTTTGATCCGGCCGGAAAACTCTCCCCTTCCCCTTACTGTTGGTCTTATGCTGATTTGTCATCTTAGTTTACCCTCTTTGCGGAGAAGATACTGTTTCATATTCATTTGTTAATGTTCTCTTCTCTCATTAATTTTCCAGTCCTTCATGATGATATTCTCCTGCATATTGTATTTAGTACATATCCATTTATTTCTTGTTATAGCTTTCTTAGTATACGAATTTAGTATGTTGCTCCTGTAGCCTTGACATTGTAGTTTATTTCCCAGGCTGGTAACTCTGTTTGTTGCATCTTCCAGTTGACTGCAGATTCTTGAAATCCTTATTATTTGTGATATAAATATTCCATAAGATTGGTTTCTAGGAATATTTCCAGATAGATCAGGATATGAGACTATTTGGAAATTGAAGTTTTCCCTTTTGTCGTATAGTTTTGTAGTGATTTGTTTATTTACTATTTTCATTTGTATGTCCAGAAAAGTTGTTTCTGTATCCTTCTCATTTTCCTTGTTTAACACTAGTTCTTCAGGATAGATGTTCTTCATATCAGTCTCCATTTCTCCGTCGTTGTTTATAGTACATAAATCATCGATGAATCTTGTAGTTTTAGCATATTTTAGTACTTTGGAGTAGTCTTCCCTATACATTTTCTCAATGGCTTGAAATTCATAACTGTATAGGTATAGGTTTGCCATATATGGCGCCGGATCGATTCCCATCGGTATTCCAATTTTCTGTCTTAGAATTGATTTCCCTGCTTTAAAGTAGGCTGTATCCACGATGAAATCCACTAGATCATTGCACTCTCCTTTGGTATATGCCTTTTTATTATCCGCCTTTCCACCCCATTTGGCTTCATCTCCACCTACTGTTATCTTTTGGTTAGTTCCTCCTCTGAAGGCTTTATCTATCACCCATTTCAGTTTTTCCTTTATGTCAGTTAGATTAATCTTTGTGTATAGTGTAGAGAAATCATACGAGGCTATGTTTCTTGCCCCGTTCCTTAAATTTACACTTTTAATGTTATCTAACATATTTTGGTTATTGTCACTGATCCACATCCTATTGGCACCTGTATAATCCTTAATCTTCTCACAGTATCTTTTGTTAGTATATTGCACTAGTTTAAGAATTTTGGTCAGTTTTTTGGCAGCTGGTTTTACAGAACTTTTCTTTGAGCCAATGATATATCTAAATTTAATTGGCTGTTTATGCATTTTAATTGTAAGATGAATCCTTGGTATAATATTTTGTTCTTCTCCCGGTTCAATCTTGAATTTTGTTTTCATTGTCTCTTTGATTTCCTCCACTATATCTTCTTCTCCTTTATCTTCTATCCTTTGATAGGTGTCACTCCCAATTTCCTCTTTAATCTTCTTTATGTAGTATTGTTTGCACATAAATCCAATATTATTTGCTGCCTTATCAATAGGTACAATGGCATATTTTTCCTTGAGTTGATTGAGTTCTTCCATAGCATTATGGTCCTTTAGTGTCTGCTTTGGATTTTTAATATGTCTAAATTTTGTATTTTGAAGTAACTCAATCTTTTGTTTAACCTTTTCCATTACAGTATTTTTCCATTCATTTAAGTATACTTTTGAAACTTTTTCATTTTTTGTCCAACTTATTGCATATTCATCTATTCCTTTCTTTATTTCTTCTTTTGCTTTCCTGAAGTTAATGTTTCGTTTTTCTCTATAGCCAGGACCTTTACTAAATAGCTTTCTCAATTTTGAATTTTGTATAATCTTCAGATTTCCTGTTATGATGTGACCATGGTCTTCATCCTTAAATTCAGATGTATTACAATCACATTCTCCTGTATTGTTGCCTTCGTCGATACTTTCTGTAATCTCACTATAGTTGAACAATTTATTCCTTATTGGTTTTGTGTATATATAGACAATTCCTGGTGGTTCCTTATTTTTGATACTTGAAGGTATTGTCTTGATCACTTCTTCATCTCTTAAGATATTTGCAATGTTGATTACTTCTACTGCTTTGTTTTCAAATAGTATTTTACAGAATTTTGTTGGTTTCTTTTTCCTATTCTTGGTCTTTAGTTCATTGTTTTTCCTAAGTTTTGATTGGATTCTGTCCTCCAGAGTAATTTTAAGTCGTGTGTGTAGTCTATCATTATCTTCTATATTTATCATTCCAAGTTTTTTCAATTCTGTCTTCTTCATTTGTGGGACTAATCT